CCTGGCTTTAGACTAATTAATGCTAAATGATGATTGGGTCTGTAAGGCCTATTGAGGAATTGTGTATACATACACATCTGACCCCAGATCAATTGTTTGTACCTTCTATTCATTTCCCTACTGCCCAGGGGGCTCAATGTACATCCTTAATGACCAGACTGTTCCTGCACACACCTTTGTAATGAAAGGGCCTGACATAATCTAATCTACTCAACCTGTCATGGCTATGATACCATATTTCCACTCAAATCTTACATGTCCGTTACAATAAATTTTACATGTCCGTTACATTAAATTTTACATGTCCGTTACAGGAGCAGACAGAGAATTGTCAGGTCAAGCCGAGTTCAGCAATGGGAGATCAAGCTTAAGGGACAGGCAGGAGAGTGGTCAGGATGAGCCGGGAATCAAGCAGGAGACGGTCAGCAGGGTCAAGATTAAGCAAAGGTCAGCAACAGGCAGCTTCAATAACAGAACACAGGAACAGGAGAATAAGACCAAACGGCAATGCACATACCTTCTGGCTTGTTTAAAAATAGTGCGCCCTGCGCTGTCATTGGTGCCAGGCGCGTGTCCACGATCGCGAGTGCGCATGCACGGCCGTCGCAGCTGCTGCGATCGTCCAAGTCCTGCCGCCCGCCGGCTAGTGTGCGTCAGTGTTCTGCGCATGCGCCACCCGGTATATCGCACCAGAGATGCCAAATTGCTTTGTCCTTTGTGGGTGATTACTGAAAAATTCCCGAATTCTAGAGGCATGGATGTTTTGGGCTGACTCCCACAAATTTTCTTCTGGGCCGTAACTTTTCCACTTAATGGGGAATTGGGTCTGGCCTCTCCTCTTCCTACAGTCCAGGATCGCTTCTTCCTCAAATCTTTCCACTTCATCAATATTTATGGCCTCCAGGGGTCTGGACCTCCAGTCCGGGAAGGGATCCGGTGCTATGGGTTTCAACAAAGATACGTGGAAGACCGGGTGTATCTTAAAGGATTCAGGAAGTGATAGTTTGTACGCCACCTCGTTAATCTTTTGTTTTACCCTGAATAGACCCATGAATTTTGGTCCTAGTTTTCTTGATGGGCAAGACATCTTCAGATTTGTCATGGCTAGCCAGACTTGGTCCCCAGTGTGCAAAATGAGTTCACCTCTCCTCGTCTTGTCAAAGGCCCTTTTATTATCTTCCTGAGCCCTTGTGATAGATTCTTGTAATACTCTGTTGTTTGATGAAAAAAACTTCAGCATGTCCTGTGTAGCCGGCACCAAACTTTGTGGAATCGTGTCGGGTAGGAATGTGGGGTGGAACCCGTAACTGGCGAAGAACGGAGACTGTCGGATAGCAGAGTGATTCGCGTTGTATGCAAATTCAGCTAATGGCAGAAGAGTCAGCCAATCATCCTGAAGAAAGGTGGTGTAGCACCTGAGATACTGCTCCAGAGTCTGGTTCGTGAGTTCCATCTGCCCGTTAGTCTGTGGGTGGTATGCCAATGACAAGGAGAGTTTGATTCCTAGAATCTTGCATAGTGTTCTCCAGAAACTCGAAGTGAACTGGACTTTCCTGTCTGAGACAATATCCTTGGGTACCCCATGAAGCCTCACCACTTCCCTCACAAAGATTTGCGCTGTTTCCGGGGCCGAGGGTGTGTTTCTCAAGGGCAGGAAATGGGTCATCTTGGACAGGCAGTCCACAACCACAAAAATGGCAGTGTGATCTTGGGACCGTGGAAGGTCCATGATGAAGTCAATGGAAATCATTTCCCACGGCCTATTAGGTATTGGTAAGGGTCGTAGCAGACCCCAGGCCTTGCTCCCGGTAGGTTTGTTCCTTTGACAGATAGCACAGGTCCTCACATATGCTTCACAGTCTTTGGCCATGCTTGGCCATCAGAACACGTGTTGCAGCAGTTCCAAGGTCTTACGCACTCCGAAGTGGCCAGCCAGGGGATGGTCATGGCAATATCCCAGGACTACAGTACGAGTTTCTTCAGGAACCATGATCCGTCCCTCCTTCCACAAGAGTACTTCCCTGTTCTGCAAGGAAACCCCAGATGGATTTGGCACTCCCACGGATGTGGCCTGCAGTTTGGACCATAGCTCAGTCTGAAGGGCAAGAAATTCTCTGTAGACAGGATGGTGTCCGGCTTGTGGGTCTCTTCAGGGTCCTCAAACATGCACGAGAGCGCGTCAGGTTTTGTGTTCTTCGATCCCGGCCTGTAGGTAATATGAAACACAAACATGGAGAAAAAGAGTGCCCATCTGGCCTGGCATAGCCTCAAGCACTTAGCCGTCTTCAGATATTCCAGGTTTTTGTGATCTGTGAAGATCAAGATTGGGTGTGTGGCTCCTTCCAGTAGGTACCTCCACTCCTCCAACGCTGCTTTGATGGCCAGGAGTTCACGGTCCCCAATATCCTAATTCTTCTCCGCAGACAAGAGTTTCCTGGAGAAGAATGCCACGGGTGCATCAATTCCTTGACGCCCTTCATCTGGAAAAGTACTGCCCCTACCGCGTTCTCAGACGCATCTACCTCCAGGATGTAGGGTAACAAAGAATCTGGGTGGCTCAATATGGGGGCTTCGGTAAAAAGCCTTTTTAAAGACTGGAATGCCATCTGTGCCTCAGGTGTCCACCTAAACCATACCCCTTGTCTGGTGAGTTGGGTAATAGGAGACACAAGGCCCGAAAAGTTCTTGATGAACTTTCTGTAAAAGTTGGCGAAGCCAATGAATCGCTGCACACCCTTTTTATTGGCAGTACCGGCCATTCCAAAATGGCAGAGATCTTTTGGGTATCCATGGCTACTCCCGTGGTAGATATAATTAACCCCAAGAAGAAAATGCTATGCTGTTCGAAACTGCACTTATCTGCCTTTGCGTACAGCCAGTGTTGGCGGAGTCGCCCCAACACGCTTCTAACGTGACCTCTATGCTCCTCTAGGGATGCGGAGAAAATCAAAATGTCATCTAAATAGATGACCACAAAGATGTCCAAAAAGTCTCTGAATACATTTTATTAACAATGTTGAAATGTCGCTGTGGCATTGCACAGGCCGAAGGGCATGACCAGATACTCAAAGTGCCCGAATCTGGTGCTGAAGGCTGTTTTCCACTCGTCTCCTTCCCCTAATGCGGACTAAATTGTAAGCCCCCCTCAAATCCAATTTAGTGACGATGGACACTGACCTGAGTCTCTGAAGTAATTCTGGTACCAAGGGGAGCGGGTAATGGTTCTTCACTGTAATCTTATTTAATTCCCTGTAATCCACACAGGGCCTTAGGGACTTAACTTTCTTTTCTACAAAGAAAATCCTGGCCCCGGCCGGTGACGTGGAAGGGCGGATGAACCCTTTCTGGAGGTTTTCATCAATATATTCCCTCAGCACCCCCAACTCCCACTCAGACAGAGGAAAAATTTGCCCAAAGGGAACCTCAGAACCCAGAAGAAAGTCAATGAGGCAGTCATATGTCCGGTGTGGGGGAAGTCTGTCTGCTCCTCGCTTACTGAATACGTCGAGGTAGCCATGGCAGGCCAGAGGGATTACTTGGTTCAGTTCTGCATCAGTGTCCATGCATAATAGGGAACGCGATGCTAAGGGAGCCCGAGGACAGCAATGTTCCTGACAGTAGGGGGACCTGAACTGAATTGAACCAGTTTTCCAATTAATCTGGGGGTCGTGTGCCCATAACCAAGGAAGCCCCAGAATAATTGGAAACAGAGGGGATGCGATAGCATCCAAATGAAGGATCTCCTGATGGTGGCCAGCCACCGTAGTACAGAGAGGTGGGGTCTCCCTGTCTACCACCCCTGACTTAATACGGGACCCATCGGCCAAAAAGATATTTAACTCATGCTTTCTGGTTTGTAGGGGAATCTGTTGCTGTGCTGGAAAATCTAGATCTACGAAGCAGCTACAGGCTCCGGAATCAATGGTTGCCGTCGCTGACACGGTCCTTCCGGGGAGCTGGAAAGAGATAGGCACTGCTAAGTAATTAGAATTATCAAAGTAGGTGGGAGATGCAGCAGAAAACACAGAGGCACACTTACTTGATTTCACTGGGCAGGAACGTACCACATGACCTGCTTCCCCACAATACAGGCAGAGATTGTTGCGCCGACGTCTCTGGCATTACTCAAACGTCAATGAAGGATGGGTTAATCCCACTTGCATGGGTTCTGTCTGTCTCTGAGTACCGATTACCAACAAGCAAAGTGGACTGGACTGGGATGTGGGGTAATGTCCACGTAGGCCTCTGACCCTGGCCGGACCTTTCCATCCTGCGTTCCCGCAACCGTCGGTCTATCTGGATAGCCAGAGTTATTAGGTCCTCCAATATAGCTGGTATGCCTACTCTGGCTAGTTCGTGCTTTAGCAGCTCAGACAATCCCACGCAGAACTGATGATGCAGGGCCGCATCATTCCAATGTGTGTCCCCCATCCAGCGTCTGAACTATTCCTCTGCTGCCGGGCGACCTTGTCGGAGTGCTTGTAGGGCTGATTCAGCCGACGCTGCTCGCTGCGGGTCATCATATAGTAGCGCCATTGCTTCAAAAAAAGTCGATACTGTATCTAGGTGTGGTTGATGGGTCTCTAGTAGTCGGTGGGCCCAGGCCTGGGGTTCATCTTGTAGCAGAGATATGAAGAACCCCATTTTCACAGATTCCGTAGAGAAGGTCTGCGGCTGTAAGTTAAAGTAGAGCTGGCAGGCGTTGCGGAATGCCCTGAATTTTGCTCAATCCCCAATAAATCGTTCAGGTATTGGCACACAAGGTTCTGGTAGAAGCAGGGAGGCCGCCCCTCTGGCAGGCGATTCTGGGTGCCCTCCAGCCAATGATGAGGGACCCGAATCCTGGGGTGCAGAGTCTGATGTAGTTAGTGTCTGAATTTACCCCTGCAAATGTGTATAACCCTCCTGCAGGGTTTTTACCACCTGAGTTAGTGCTGCCAAGTGTTGGCATATGTCCTCCAACGGGGATGGTCCTCTTCCAGGCTCCGTCATTTTGGCCGTTTGGCACTGTCATGCACCGCCTGGCGGTGTCTCTAGCTGCCCACGGCACGGGGTTCCCCAGGGCGTGGAGTCTAAGTCCCAATCTGCTTGTTCACCAGGGCCCCTGATGGTGGGGATGGACTTGGAGCAGACTGAGACCAGGTCGCGACCCCTGAGTATGTCCGGCTGTGGTAGAGGGCACCGTCAGAGGTGTGCGGGGAACAGGGCCTGATATGAAGAGGCTAGCAGACCTGACAGCAGGGACGGTAACGTGCGGGCAGCGAGGTACCAGAGGAGAATCATCAGAATCATCAGGTCAAGCCGAGTTCAGCAATGGGAGATCAAGCGTAAGGGACAGGCAGGAGAGTGGTCAGGACAAGCCGGGAATCAAGCAGGAGACCGTCACCAGGGTCAGGATCAGGCAGAGGTCGGCAACAGGCAGCTTCAATAACAGAACACAGGAACAGGAGAATAAGACCAAACGGCAATGCACATACCTTCTGGCTCGTTTAAATAGCGCACCCTGCGCTGTCATTGGTGCCAGGTGCGTGTCCATGATCGTGAGTGCGCATGCGTGGCCGTCGCTATTGTCCAGGTTCTGCCGCCCGCCGGCTAGTGCGCGTCGGCGTATCGCCGCAGAGACCCGGATCCCTGACAACGGCAGACAGTATTGTTGTTGAAAAGCATAAATCACATTATATTCTCATATCTATGCCTGACCATGGCAGCAGCAAACACGGCCATATGATGAATCGGGTCTGTGGACCAACATGACTGCATGTCAGAGCCTGGGTCCAAACCTGGGCCTTCTGTGGTGAGTGGCAATGTTTCTTCTTGCTGAGCCACCTGGAATGCTGGAAAGCTCCCTTGACAATTATTTGGATGATCCTGCCTTGACCTTGTTTATCATGAACCTTGAACCCCTTGCTCCTCCCATGAACTTCCTGATATAAGCCATGTCTCTTCACTTCCTGTTTGCCAGATTATTGTGCTCTCCAGCCAGGATCGTGCTCCATGCCTTCTCTGCTGTTATCCATATTTTGCTATCACTCGTTATTGACCCTTGGCTTGTTCTCGACTACGCTTCTGCCTGATCCCAACCTGCGACTGCTTCTTACTGACTTTGGCTTGTTTACTGACTACGCTTCCGGTTGGTCCTTACCTGCTTATATGTTACTGGACCTCCACTTGCTCACCTCCTGGTGGGGTGATCCTGAGGACCGTGACCTGGTGCTAACATGCAGCCAGTTCACCATCAGGAGCTCTGGTGAACACCGGTTGGTACTTAGACTCCGCACCTCAAGTGATCCCATTCCTCCGCCACAGTGACCTGCCTGTGTACCTATCCTGCTGGTTTCAGCTGAGCCTTTCCACTGCTATAGCAACTGATCTTTGAGCCTGACCCCTGACCTTGACACCGCAAATGATTTATTTTAGTATTTATTTTAGTAATGTCCATCTTGAGGGTTAGGCCTAAATAAATTGTAAGCTTGGAAACCATAATAGGTTTTCATACAAATTGTCTGGCAAGCTTTGAATTTGAGTTGGCAGCGATGTACTGGTCAGCATATAAATTTCTTTGGTCCACAATTCATCCATACAGATCTTCTGGGAATAAAGCTCCAAAAATCAAGGGGAGAAGTTACATTTGCTGTTTCTACCTGAATTCCGGGTTGGGCAGTGAATGGGAGAAGTACGGGTGCTGCAGAATCTGTGGGCTGCCAATCAGGATTTGCAAGCACATCCGGAAGGACACTATGGCCTGTGTGTGAATTCTTGGTGGCTGCGGGACAATACTTGTGTTCGCCACTGCACCAGCTTGCACTGTGCTTATGGGATTCACCATGTCACCAAGTGATACTGCAGTGCTGGTATGTATAAGACCAGGATGTACTAGGCCGCTGGTGCTTGCCAGTCCACCAAAAGGTAGAGTAGCACTAGTACTTGCTCCCTTCTACATATGAGAGTCATCATGCAACTTCAACACCTCAGCAAACATGGAACGGGTTGGGTACACCTGACCTTAGCAGGGACCTCTACTCCATCATCTGAGCTATCAGAGTGCCGCTGATTTCTACAGGTTCATATTCTGAGGTGGATTCTGTCAGTGAGGCTTCCCCTTTGTGCTCACCTGACATGCTCAGAATCCTGTAGGCCTCTTCACTAGAGTACCTTTCTTTGGATATTTTTGCCACTAAATTTATAGGTACCTAGTGTGACTCACGGGAAAAAGAGCACCTGGCTGTCGGGACTGCTTGAACCACTACTAATAATATTTACCTGCCAGTGCTAGTAGAGATCAGGCCTGATCTTGCTAACGCTGCAGTTTTTTTGTAATGTAAGTGACAGTGCATCTGTGTGTTCCTGGCAATCAAAGGGTTAAATGTGATGGTGATAGTGTGATGGGCAATCTGATGCTATCTGGGAAGGACACGAGCTAATGCGATCTGTAGTCACCCGTGACACTAATACAGTGATCAGAGAAAATCTGTACACTGTAATAAGGACTCTGGTGGCAGGGCAGTGAAAGGGTTACCTGGGGGGGCGATCAGGGGGATAAAATGTGCCTAACTCTGTGTCTGAGTGTAAAGTGTGCTGCTGTGACTCAGATCTGCTCTCTTCTCTCTCTGGAACAGAAAAGGGCTCCAGCAGAGACGATTGGGTGAGTTCCTGTGTCTGTGTTCTGTAGACACCGGCACAGGATGAGCTCTGATTAGTTACAACCAATCAGCAGGTCCAGGCCAAACCTCATTGTCCTGGATCTGGTGACTGATTGGTGCTGTACCGAATCACAGCACCGCCGGCCTGGGAACACGCAGGGAGCACGGATCATGTGTATATATATATGCAGTGAGGAACAGAAGTATTTGAAAACCCTGTGATTTTGCACGTTCTCCCACTTCTCCATCATGGAGGGTCTTACATTCACATTGCAGGGGATTCCCACTCTGAGGACAGAATTCAGGAAATCCCATTGTATGATTTGTAAAGAATGTATTTGTCTTGCACTGCTGAACAGAAGTATTTGAACCCCTGAGAAACAGCAAGAATTCTGGCTGCCATGGGCAAGACCAAAGAGCTGTCAAAAGACACCAGAGACAAAATTGTGGACCTCCACAAGGCTGTAAAGGGCTACGGGGCAATTGCCAAGCAGCTTGGTGAAAATAGATCAACTGTTGGAGCAATTGTTAGAAAATGGAAGAGGCTAAAGACGACTGTCAGTCTCCCTCGGACTGGGGCTCCATGCAAGATGTCACCTCGTGGGGGGGTATCACTGATGAGAAGAAAGGTGAGGAATCAGCCCAGAACTACAAGGGAGGAGCTGGTCAATGACATGAAGAGAGCTGGGACCAGTTTCAAAGGTCACTGTCGGTAGAACACTACGCCGTCATGGTTTCCAATCATGCATTGCACGGAAGGTTCCCCTGCTCAAGTCATCACATGTCCAGGCCCGTCTGAAGGTTCCCCTGCTCCATTCATCACATGTCCAGGCCCGTCTGAAGGTTCCCCTGCTCCATTCATCACATGTCCAGGCCCGTCTGAAGGTTGCCAATCACCATCTGGATGATCCAGAGGAGACATGGGAGAAAGTCATGTGGTCAGAGGAGACCAAAGTAGAACTTTTTGGTCTAAACTTCACTCGTCGTGTTTGGAGGAAAAAGAAGGATGAGTGGCATCCCAAGAACACCATCCCTACTGTGAAGCATGGGGGTGGTAACATCATGCTTTGGGGGTGCTCTTCTGCGAAGGGGACAGGACGACTGCACTGTATTAAGGAGAGGATGAATGGGGCCATTTATTGTGAGATTTTCAGCAACAACCTCCTTCCCTCAGTCAGAGCATTGAAGATGGGTCGTGGCTGGGTCTTCCAACATGACAACGACCCGAAGCACACAGCCAGGAGAACCAAGGAGTGGCTCCGTAAGAAGCATATCGAGGTTCTGGAGTGGCCTAGCCAGTCTCCACACCTAAATCCAATAGAACATCTTTGGAGGGAGCTGAAACTCCATGTTGCTCAGCGACAGCCCCGAAACTTGACAGATCTAGAGGAGATCGGTGTGGAGGAGTCGGCCAAAATCCCTGTTGCAGTGCAAACCTGGCCAAGGACTACAGGAACCGTCTGACCTCTGTAATTGCAGACAAAGGCTTCTGTACCAAATATTAACACGGATCTTCTCAGGGGTTCAAATACTTCTGTTCAGCCGTGCGAGACAAATACATTCTTTACAAATCATACAATGGGATCTCCTGAATTCTGTCCTCAGAGTGTGGAATCCCCTGCAATGTGAATGTCAGACCCTCCATGATGGAGAAGTGGGAGAACTTGCAGAATCGCAGGGGGTTCAAATACTTCTGTTCCTCGCTGTATGTGATTTTGTGCCGGGTGGGCAGTAAAGCTACAGGAGGCGGTCACCAAGTGAATAACAACATAAAACATGTATATTTTAGGTATAGGGAGTCTCACTTCTAGCGCTGCACAGTTATCTTTCTATCTATTTGCTGTTAGGATTTTTGTGGATTAATTCTTTTCTGTTCAGCTGCTTAATATGTCATTTGAACCCTTTTTTGGCTGCTCAGTGCCATTATAATGTTGCCATTTCCTGCCTGGCACTGTCAGTATTGCTGGCTGGGCGATGATTTTGCCGGCACACAGAAGTGAATGGAGTTCCCACATGGCTGTTCTGTACAAGCAGAAGTGTCTGGAGCTGCTCTGTCCTCGTTCTCTATGATTTCCCAGTGTATTCTGGGATACTGGAGCCTCCACTCTGTCTCACCCAATACCCGGGTAACGTAATAAATGCTTTACTAATGCACCATAAATGCCCTCGGGGCTGATAAAGAAGAACTTTGCCCTTTCCCCTCCCCCCATTCACCTGCTTACCTGTTACTGTGTTCTGCCCAGTAACCATAGTCACCTGGCCAGTGGATCCAGCATTGAGCTGCTGGGATCCTCCTCTCTGCAGCCGCTGCACGGGTTCAACACCGCCATGTTGCCTCTAACAGCTGCCAGCTCTTCCAGGTGCTGCTAGGCCACCCCTCCCCCTTGATGAATGGGACTGCACACCATATATCCCAGGAGGCACCGGGGCAGCCCACCATTAACCTAGACTTATATCAGAAGTCAGGGAGGGGGGTGGCCGACCATATGTAACCAAACAACATCTGATATTGATGCAGAGGGGGGGGATGGGGAGGAGGAAAGTGCCATGGGAGGGTGAAGCCCCAAT